GTGAGATGGGTGTTGGAGCTAGCAGCTCTATGTTGCAGAGAAACATTTCTGGTTTGCATCATGATAGGGTGGTGTTGCAACCTCATCCGTGCTCTTTACCAAAGGTGGTTTTCTTCTCAATCAAGACATAATTCTGCCTTCATTCTTTTCTAGGCCTCAGTCAGTTAGCAAGAGAAAGATCTCTGCATACCTTGAATGTGGTTCATGCTGTAAGGGTCTCCTTGAAGGCGACAGCACAGGTCAGATGCTCTATTTGTGCTGCCAGAGAGGCATAGGAAGCGGCATCCAAGGTGTTATTACTCATTGGATCCACCAATTGATCATTCAAGCCTATGGTTTGAAAAGTAAACTCCAACCCTTTTGGGTGAAGGCATACTCCACCAAGAGTGTGGGGGCATCTTGGGCAGTCCACCATCAGGCGTCAGTGGCTCAGGTTTGCAAGGCCGCTACATGGTCTTCAGTTCACACATTCACAAGGTTCTGCCAGGTGGATGTCAGAGCCGCAGAGGATTCTGCCTTTGGTCGCAATGTTTCACAGACGCCTGAGTAGGTCCTGAGGGATTGACTGTGGCTATCATGGTGTCACCCTCCCTTCAAATTTCTTATTGCTTTGGGACATCCCACATAGTCATGAATAGCATGCTCTGTGTCCCATGATGTACGATAAAGGAGGTTTGATTTTTTTTCTACATACTTACCTGTAAAATCCATTTCTTGGAGTACATCACGAGACCCCCACCCCTTTCTGGAATGTCACTGCTTGCTGCAAAAACTGAGGTACTTCCTGTATAGGAGGGGGTTATATACAAGATGACCTCCTCCCTGATTAGTCGGCCAGTGTCCATTCACCTATAGGTGGTCTATAACCCACATAGTCAGGAAGAGCTTGCTCTGTGTCCCGTGATTTACTCCAAGAAATGGATTTTACAGTTAAGTATCCAATTTTCACCCAGTTCAACAACAAAGCTGCTGGGCCCCCATGTTGAGCTGATGGTGGCCTCAGCCCAGTACAGGAAGGCAGGTTGTATTGCCTTATTGGCAGCCCTGCAGGTGATTATTTGGTCATGAGGACCATAGATTCTGGGTATAGGCTTAGCAGTCATCTGCTCCCTGATCAGCCATGCAAAGTTTACCACACTTCTCCCCATAAATTCACTGTGTTTGGTTAAGACATTTTTTTTGTAAGCTCAGTGTGAATTTGGGAGACTTCTCAAAGGAGAATCATAAGTATGTGGCAGGGACCTGGGTACTGCCCTAAAACGTTTCTCCCGAAAATGTTGTCCAGCTTGTGGATATGCACCACGTATTGTCCATATATATATATATATATATACACAGTATGACTTTGAAGCATCCTACAGTATCAAAGGGTCAGCAGATCCTGTCCTCTGAGTCACCAGAGAGTTTGAGTTCTAACAAAAGTCAGCCATTATTCTATATACCCCAGGGTAGGATTACAATGGAGGCAATAGTTGGAAGTGAGGGGGTGGTGGAATAAGCGAAGTCATTTCTAGAGAAAGTTTTATATGAAGCAGTGTGAAAAGAATAAGCTATAACCATATCGGCCCACTTGGGAAGACCTAGGACATCTCCAGGGGGAGGGGAGAAATCTATCGAAGGCTAGAGAAGGTGTCATATTGAAACCCCCATTACCAGAACCCTGTATGCACGCAGCATACTTGGCCACCTGAGACATAATTCTATGTAACAGTTATACATCAGTGGGGGGAGTCATGTTACATATAAAAGCACAACTTCCATCTGAAACAATAAGATACCTGCCCTCTGGATCTGAGGTGAAGTTAATTAGGCGGAATGCGGTCGATATGTGTTTAAGGATGCTCACCCCTCACACATGGTTAGAATAGGTAATATGATAGTGTAAAGGAACACAGGGTTTCTTAAGGCTCAGGTATTTCCCAAAGTATAAATGTGTTTCCTGGAAAAGCACATATAGCGGTTATACTGCTTAAGATAGGTAAAAGCCAGAGATCAATTTATTTCAGAGTTAAGACCTTGCGTATTCCATCTTAAACGCACCAATTATTCTGGTATGGATAATTAGTTGAGAAGAGAAGCAACAGAGATATATAATGGAGGATCCCAGAGGGAAGGCAGAACACATAAATAAATGCACATGTGAGAATTTAGAGATTTGCAGGTGGAAACCTGAAGGTACTGAAAAGTGTGGAACATGACACAAACAGATACGCAACAAACAAAATAGCCCAATGGCTTGCCCTGAGAACAACCCAGCATCCTCTGGGGAACAGGAGAATGCTTCAGATCCTAAAATTATAAACATTTTTGCGAATTCCACTTGGGCTTGCAGGACCTGTGAATTGACCTGGGGATAACAAGATAAACAAAGGAGGAGTGCGTATGTCCATTTTTAGGGGAATGAAGCCTATTACTAGAAAAGGAGGTAGTTTACGTGCCCTTGGGTATTTCTAAGTGTTACCTCTGCTAAGAAATATTACAAATATCATAACAATGCTGAACGAATGTAAGTATGCAGTTGGTCAGCAAGGACAGTTCTGCGTAACAGAAGAAAAATGTTCTACAAATAATATACCATGATTTAAGTGTAGTGGCTCCTTCAAGAGACAGGAAAAGGAGGGTGACAATGGGAGTATTAGAAAAGGTATGGACATGCCATCTGTGACCAGGTAGCTTCAAAGTAAAAAAAAAAAAAAAAGGTGGTTTCAGTATTGAAGATTCAGGTCACAGCAGCAGGGGGATTTCAACAGAGCAATATCTCTGTGAATCACACTGAGGTATTGTCTCATCAATATCATAGTTAAAAAGATTTAACCTTGCAAGGTGGGAGAAGCGTAGGTATGAAATGCTGAGGGTTTCTTACTCCACTGAGTCCAGCCAGGTAGATGCAGTCTCTGGAGTAGTGAAGAAAATATTTTTTTTTTTTTCTCCATCCTTAACTGGAAACAAGCTGAATTTGATAATTTTTGGCTCGCAGTCAATGGTGTCACAAGAACAGCATTGGGTGTCCATGGAATAATCTGGAAACATCATCTGTTTCACAGTTTCGTAGTGGAGCTCTCCTTTATTTTTGTTTTTTTTTAATCTTTTATTTAATTTTTTTTTCTAGTACAAAAAAGGAACATCAAATACTCACAAGTCTAAACCAAAAACAAACACAAATAACAACCTTTTCCCGTGTATCCAAATTACATTGTACAAAAATTCCCCCCCCCCCATTCCCCTTTTCACACCACATTCCTAGTTCCCAACCTTTTTCATCATCAATCTATATCTGTATTACCGTATTTGCCGGCGTATAAGACGACTGGGCGTATAAGACGGCCGCCCTACTTTTCCTGCTAAAATTTAGTGTTTGAGCTATACTCGCCGTATAAGACTACCCCTCTTCCAATGCACACCAGTGGCAGGAATAGTGCCCCATCATTGGTATCAGTGGCAGGAATAGTGCCCCATCATTGGTATCAGTGGCAGGAATAGTGCCCCATCATTGGTATCAGTGGCAGGAATAGTGCCCCATCATTGGCATTAGTGGCAGGAATAGTGCCCCATCATTAGTATCAGTGGGAGGAATAGTGCCCCATCATTAGTATCAGTGGGGGGAATAGTGCCCCATCATTGGTATCAGTGGCAGGAATAGTGCCCCATCATTAGTATCAGTGGGGGGAATAGTGCCCCATCATTGGTATCAGTGGGGGGAATAGTGCCCCATCATTGGTGTCAGTGGGAGGAATGGTGTCCCAACATTGGTGTCAGTGGGAGGAATGGTGTCCCATCATTGGTGTCAGTGGGGGGTGGAATAGTGCCCCATCATTGGTGTCAGTGGGGGGGGGGGATAGTGCCCCATCGTTGATGTATGTGGGGGGAGGAATAGTGCCCCATCGTTGGTGTCAGTGGGGGGGAGGAATAGTGCCCCATCGTTGGTGTCAGTGGGGGGGAGGAATAGTGCCCCATTGTTGGTGTCAGTGGGGGGGAGGAATAGTGCCCCATCGTTGGTGTCAGTGGGGGGGAGGAATAGTGCCCCATCGTTGGTGTCAGTGGGGGGGAGGAATAGTGCCCCATCGTTGGTGTCAGTGGGGGGGAGGAATAGTGCCCCATCGTTGGTGTCAGTGGGGGGGAGGAATAGTGCCCCATCGTTGGTGTCAGTGGGAGGAATAGTGCCCCATCATTGGTATCAGTGGGAGGAATAGTGCTCCATCATTGGTATCAGTGACACCAATGATGGGGCACTATTCCTCCCACTGACACTTGCTGACCCTGTTCTCGTATGGTGCTGCTGCAGCCAGCATATGTGGTTGCAGCAGCACCTCTACACTGACCACTTACCTGCTGGTCCTGCACTCGATTTTCGCGGGGGGGCGCTCGGCTCCACCCCCTCGCCGGTGATTGGCCGCCTGTGTGCCTTTCCTGAGCTACAGTTCTGGCGGCCAATCACTGGTGAGGAGGCGGAGCCGAGCAGCCGCACGAACATCCAGTGGCCGAACTGAAGGCGCAGCCGCGCTTCCTGGACTGGATCGTCGTGGGACCGGAACCAGGTAAGAAAAAGCCGCTGCCCACCCCCTGTACTTAGTGTCCCTTCCATTGGGGGAAGGGGGGGGGGGGGCGGCGGCGGCAACGCGCCGCCCCCCTAAAAAGTGTCAGTATGCCGTATACCGGCGTATAAGACGACCCCCGACTTTTGAGAAGATTTTCAAGGGGTAAAAAGTCATCTTATACGCCGGCAAATACGGTACTTTCTTTCTGTCCTCTGTTCTCTTTCAGGCGCCCCTTAAAAGCTCCCCCCAATGCTCGTCCCCTTATATTCCCAGCAAGTCCAAATATCTTTTAGTTTGTTTTAACCACCTCCCGCCCGCCATATAGTCCAATGACGGGCGCAAGGTGGTTCTCTTATTCTGGGAGGATGTCATATGATGTCCTCACATTCTCAGCGCGCAGCGCGGCTATTGGCGGTGCGCTGTGTCCCTCGGACACAACGGATCACCGATCACGGAAAGAGGCGAAGATGTCGGCTCGGTCATGTGATCAGCTGTGTCCAATCACAGCTGATCACATGTAAACAGGGAAATGCCAGTTATCGGCATTTCTCTCCTCTCGAGCTGTCACGCTGACCTCTCGAGAGGAGAGGCGGTAATCGGCTTTCCGCAGAGGGGACATGTACACTGATCATCAGGGCACGGATGATCAGTGTAGCCCCAGCAGTGCCACCTGTCAGTGTCCATCAGTGCCTTGTGTCAGCGCTCATCAGTGCCTTGTGCCAGTGACCATCAATGCCACATATCAGTGCCTACCAGTGCACATCAATGCCACATATCAGTGCCCGTCTGAGCTGCCTTTCAGTGTCACCCATCAGTGCCAGTCAGTGCCACCTATCAATGCCAATCAGTGCCACCTATCAGTGCTGCCAATCAGTGCCACCTATCAGTGCCAGTCAGTGACGTCTATCACTGCCGTGTCAGTGCCGCTTATCAGTGCTGTGTCAGTGCCATGTATCAGTGCTGCCTTTCAGTGCCCATCAGTGATGCCTGCCAATGCCCATCAGTGCCACCTACCAGTGCCTCCTCATCAGTGCCCATCAGTGCCACCTATAAGTGTCCATCAGTGCAGCCTATCAGTGCCCACCACTACAGCCTCATTAGCGTATATCAGTGAAGGAGAAAAATCACTTATTTACAAAATTTTATAACAAAAACTAAGAAAAAATGTTTTATTTACAAAATTTGCAGTGGTTTTTGGTTTGTTTAAGAAAAAATAAAAAACCCAGAGGTGATTAAATACCACCAAAAGAAAGCTCTATCTGTAAAAAAAAAATGATAAAAATTTCATATGGGTACAGTGTTGTATGACTGCGCAATTGTCATTCAAAGTGCGACAGCGCTGCAAGCTAGAAATTGGCGTGGGCAGGAAGGGGGTATAAGTGCCCTGTAGGCTAGCGGTTAAAGACCAGCCAATTACTCCATGTTTTCCTGAATTTTTCCATTTTATCCTCTTCCATATGCCACAGCTCCTCCATCCTATAAATATTTTCTACTCCATTTACCCAGTCCTTCATACTTGGAGGATCAGGGGCAAGCCAGAATTTAGGGATCAGGTCCTTAGCCGCATAAACTAGTACAATACCTTATTCTCACGCAGTTTTATCAAAGGTTCAAACTTATAAAATAAACAAGTCCACGGGTCTCTCGGTATATCAATCCCACATATTTCCTGGATATCTTGTAACACTCCCTTCCAGTACTCTTGTATTCTTGGACATTCCCACCACATGTGTGCCACGGTGCCCTTTCCCCCGCATCCTCTCCAACATAAAGATGAGACCTCTACTTGTTGTTTATGTGCTTTACTCGGTGTGATATACCATCTAGCCATACATTTGTAATTAATTTCCACTGGGTTCATATTTATTGCCTTGTGTACCAGTTTAAATAAATAATTTTTTGGTTGTTCATTCAACTTTGATCCCAACTCCCACTCCCATTTTTCTAAGAACTGAGGAGGATCAGTACTTTCTATATCCATAAGGATCTTATAAATCTTAGAAGTGCCCCATTTAGGGGGTATACTTACATTCAACAATTTCTCAAATGGGTACTGATCCTCCAACAGCCTCATTGGTTGTGGGAGTGTTGAAACGAAGTGAGCTGATTGACCATACCGCCACTCATTTAATGTGAAAAATAAATCTTTTTTTCCCTTAGTTCAAAAAATTGTACAACTTCCTCTCACTCAATATATCTTTTAAACATATATTCTGGTTTTTAATCCATTTCCCGGAAACATTATCCTTCCCCGATGGGAAATAATCCGTTCCCGTCAAGGGGATCATACCCAAGTTTTATTTCGATCCCTTTTGTTTGTGCAGTCTATTACACATGCTAAAAACTTTCTCTGTCAGTGAACAAGTGTTCCTATCTAATGTGCGAAACTTACGTGGAACCCAAACCAACTTCCCTAACTGTGCCTTACTCAACTCCTCTTCTATCTTCACCCAACTCTTCCTTTGTGAATTGAATACCCAATCCATTATTTGTGAAAGTATCACCGCTTGGTAATAACTCTTAACATTTGGCATCCCCAACCCCCGGTTCTCTTGTATTTATTGATGACGTGACTGCTGACAAAAGCAGCAGGATGAATTCTGAAGTGTTTCGGGCAATATTATCTGCTCATATTCAGCCAAATGCTTCAGAACTCATTGGAAGCCGCTTCACAGTGCAGATGGACAATGACCCAAAGCATACTGCAAAAGCAACCAAAGAGTTTTTTAAGGGAAAGAAGTGGAATGTTATGCAATGGCCTAGTCAATCACCTGACCTGAATCCGATTGAGCATGCATTTCACTTGCTGAAGACAAAACTGAAGGGAAAATGCCCCAAGAACAAGCAGGAACTGAAGACAGTTGCAGTAGAGGCCTGGCAGAGCATCACCAGAGATGAAACCCAGCGTCTGGTGATGTCTATACGTTCCAGACTTCAGGCTGTAATTGACTGCAAAGGATTTGCAACCAAGTATTAAAAAGTGAAAGTTTGATTTATGATTATTATTCTGTCCCATTACTTTTGGTCCCTTAACAAGTGGGAGGCACATATGCAAACTGTTGTAATTCCTACACCGTTCACCTGATTTGGATGTAAATACCCTCAAATTAAAGCTGACAGTCTGCAGTTAAAGCACATCTTGTTCATTTCATTAAAATCCATTGTGGTGGTGTATAGAGCGAAAAATGTTAGAATTGTGTCGATGTTCCAATATTTATGGACCTGACTGTATAACAAACAATAGGGGGGAGAGTGGGCAACCCTGTCTGGTTCCATTATACATTTTAAAGGACTGAGATAGTAACCTGTTGACCTTGACCACCGCTAACGGGGCACTATAAAGCCCTTTTATCCACTTCATCATTTTAGGCCCTAAGCCTAATTCTTCTAGTGTGTACATCATAAAGCCCCAATTAAACCTGTCAAAAGCTTTTTCGGCATCTATTGACAGGAGTAATGCTGGCAGTTTTTCTCTTTTTACCTTTTGTAAGGGGAGCAATCTCAAACCATTGTCCCTCTCCTCCCTTCCAGTGATGAATCTACCTGATCCAGATGTATCCACTCTGGCAGCAGATCCTTTAATCTATCTGCCAGCTCCTTAGCATACAGTTTAGTATCGACATTTAATAAAGATATTGGCCTATAGCTGGCTGTCAGGGCTCCGGGTATGACCAGAGGTGTGTGGACTGACACAGGGAAACGCAGGCTTCAGGTATAGTGTAAATAAGACAATTTATTAAGACTAAACAACACAAACGCAGTGCAAGGTAAACATAACACAGTGCAAACAACCCAAACTCCAACAGATAATCATATATACAAATCAAACGTAGTCGGGCAGGCCGGGTCGGTAGCAAACGGGCAAACGGTACCAGGAGCGAGCAGAAGAGTGGTCAGGAATAGCCGAGGTCAGGACAGGCGGAGTTCGTTCAGAGTCAGGATCAAAGCAGAGTCAGGATCAGGCAGGAAGCAGACAGGATGCAGGTACAGGGGCTCATGGGAAACATACACCAAGGCACTGACTGCAAGTCTGGCCATTCCTTAAATACACCTCCTGCAATCAGCCTCAGGTGATGGCTGATTGCAGGAATGAGCTTCTGGTTGCTGAGAGCACCCGCTGGCCACCCCTGGTACTGCAGCCCACATGGCAGATGAGTCCCACCACTAATGGTGAGTCCATTCCTGACACTGGCACACTGTGTACTATCTTTCCCTTCTTTGAGTATGATCGTTATATGGGCCCACAATGATTGCTGTCTCATTTCCAACCCTTCCCCGATTGCATTCATATAGCTACACATTCTAAGGACTAGTAGATCACAGAAATTTTTATAGTACCCCACCGTATATCCATCCAGCCCAGGACTCTTTCCTTTAGCCATATTTTTTTACGCCACATTCATTTCCTCCTGGGCAATATATCTCTCTAGGGCCTCTAGTTTTTCTCCTGCTATTCTTGGCAGCTCTACTTCCTTTAAATGTTTTAATCTCTTTTCTTTTCACCATGATCTCTGAGACTCACCTCGTACAGATGACTAAAATATTTTTGGAACCTATTAGTGATTTTGGTGTTGGAGTATACCATTTCTCCTTTATCATCCTTAATTTTTTCTATTACATTTTTTCATTTCTTTTCCTTTAATTTCCTCATCAGATATTTTTCAGGTCTATTCCCCCATTGGTATCTTTCTTTCGAGACCCTATTGAATACCCTTCTCCCCTCCTGTTCCATAAGATCTTTTAATTCTTCTCTTTTAATTATTAACTTCTGGTAAATGTCTGCACTTATCTTCTTTTTATGTAGCCGTTCTAACTTGTAAAGCTACTCCATCACTGCCTTTTTTTTTTAAGCTCCCATTGAGATCAGTATTCCTCTAATGTAGGCTTTATGTGCCTCCCATACTGTGGCCACTGACACCTCCTCCTTCTCATTAAGCTCAAAAAATTGCTCTATATCCCCCCCTTAATCTTTTTTCTAGTACTGGGTCTTGGATAAGCATCTCATTTAATCTCCACCATGAAATTTTATCTTGGTCCCCACCCACCCGTAGTCTCATTGTGATGGGAGCATGATCTGAAATAGACTTAACCTCTCTGTTGGCACTAACCAACCATTCCAATTGTCTACGTTTGATCATTATGTAATCCAGTCTTGAGTATGATCCACGTACGGGAGAGAAGAAGGTATAGTCTTTTTCTCTTGGGTGTTTAACTCTCCAAGTATCATTTAGTTGATCTTGATAAAGTAATTTCTCTAGAAATTTTAAAATCCTCCTCCCCCTCTCCTCTCGTACAAGCTGACGAATCTAACTGAGGATCCGTACACAAGTTTAAGTCCCCCGCCACAACTAGGCCACCTCTTTTAATTTCAGCAAGTTTTCTTAACACTCTCTCTAGGAATATAGCTGGATTTTGGTTCAGACAATAAATATTAGCTAGTGTGTATTCAACTCCTTGTAAATCTCCCCTCAGAAATAAAAATCGACCCTCTGGATCCTCCATTTTCCCTTCAAAGTAAAGCTCACCTCCTTTGCCAACCCTATCACGGCCCCTTTAACTGAGGAGTCTGCATAGTACCATGTTGTAGTTATAGTGCTAGTATTTACATTTGGTTGGGGGGTTTTGGATCCCCCCCCCTTTAGGCGATCTACTCTTAATTTCTCTTGAAGTGTTACAGTTCATTTTCTTCTTTTCCTATATATCAGGAAAACTGCACCCAGGTCAGCCCTCTTTTCCTTCCGCTAATAGTCCCAGAAAGTCTTTTTATACTTTAAGATGATAAATGATAGATAATATATGTTAGATGGTAAATAATAGATGGACCCTCCAATCTCCAAGACCACCGGACCCTCCAGTCTTATTCTTCTCTTCCTACACAGTAATCATTGCATACACCAATATACTGCAAAAATGACAGTTCTTAGAGAAGTTTTAACCGCAATCTGCAGCAACTCACCATCAACTTGCATGCCGCCTGTACGCTACTGTTCCAGCTTTCTCAGTT